CTGACACCTGCCCTCTGTCCTCTCTCATCAGAAATGAAATTTTACTCCCAAGAGTTTAAGCAGATATGAAAGGGATGAGTTTCTATTTAACCACAAGCCTCCAAAATTTCTAGCGCAATACTCCAGTTCAGCTTTAAATAAGATGCCTGTCCAGAACCATTTGAGTCAGGAGACAAATAAACTGCTCTGACAAGCTAGTAATCAGGGAGAAAATATACTTTCTTTTCTCTCAGCCAGAAATAGCAAGCAAATATGGGGACCTGCATAAGAAAATTGCCAGCTCCGCCCTCATTGCAATCTGAAAGGAAAAAGCACCAAAGTCTCTTTGCCTTGGCCTGGGCCACTCCAGGACCTAAGCGTTGAGGCAGGGTTTGCCAAAATAGGTCAGGAAACGGAAGAAGGAAAAACAGACATACATGAGCATGGATGTGGACGTATGTGTGCAATGAAGAGTCACACGAGAACATTCGGTGCATGTCACGTCTCTGCCAAGCCACCGTCACTGCAACACCCGGACACAGGGTCTGGAGCCCGACTTCTTGGGAAGTATTTTGGATTCATTTTTACAAAATCCATGGCTTCCTTGGACAAACGGAGATAGATGCTTTTCAAAAGGAGAACCATCTTCACCCAGACAAATAATAGAGCTCTCAGCCCTCTCACGACCAGGTATATTTCCAACCTGTTCTCTTTTCTCCCCACTGCCCCAGGCCTATGGAGAAAGTACTGCCGGAGGCTTAGACCACAGTTTATGGGGACCAGCCGCACAGATACGGAGTTGTAACTCAAGACTTCTTTCAGATATACAGCAGGATTCAATTGCTTGTTGAAGAAATTATACTTCAATGTCAAGGATTTAAGACAGACATGAGAGAGCTCCTTCTATCAATAAATGCCAAAGGGTTATGTTATGTAAGAAGCAACGTGTATTTGCTTGACAATGCATAACACACTGGAATCCCTCCTGGAACGGCATTAGGACCAAGTCCCTAGCCACATCCTTCTCAGATCCAAGCTAACTCCTTTAATAAAGCATTTGGGGGCTAAACATTCCCATTCCTCAAGCGGCATGAAGAAAACTTCAACGGTAAAAATTTGGAGGTTGTTTTTTATAAAAGCAGAAACACAGATGCCTCTTTCTCTGCTGAATAAACTGAACATGACTTCTCCAACCTCAGCGACAGAGGTAACATTTGTTGACCAAAAAAATGTTTTGTGCACGACATGTACCACAGTCCTAGATTTGCTGCCCAGCATTCCTGTCCCTCGGCCTCCGACGCCACCTCTGGATAGCAGGGAAGGTAGGTTTGTAGCAGAAAGGGAAGAGTCTGGTGTTATAGCCTCACAACACGTGTATCACCTACAGAGACCAGGTTGGAGATTTTTATAGAAGCCGCTAAAATGTAGCTTAGAGCAAACTAATCTATGGGTAAATTCAGTGAATTGGAGACAGGGAAATACTGACTTTAAGACAACTCCCCCAGGCTAATCACGAGCTACTTCCAGGAATATTAGCAGTGCTGGGAAAAGGCTCCCGAGGAATTAGCAAGGCAATAGCTTCTAAGATACAAGAGTATCTACATCCCATTAGCTCTGAGGCATTTGCAAGTCTCCCCAATAATCCCTCTCACCCAGACTCCTATCTCTTTCCTCCTCTGGGACTCACTTAGGTGACTCCACTAGAGGGAGGTGGTGCAGGTGACTCTGCCTCCTCGCTGCCGCAGGTCCCCATCCGTCAAAGCACAGAGGCGAGGGTCACCTTTCTGTTAAACCTGTTAATCTACTGAGCTGAAACATTCTCCATCCCCACAGACGGACTTCCTCGCTTACTTCATCGTATTTCCCCTGGTGTGTAGAAATGGGGCTCTGAGCCACTGGAACTGGTCATGTGCCCAAAGAAAGAGGACAGAGACAAGAAGGCTGCCACAGTCCTGGCTCATTCATCAGCAGCCACATGCATAGTCCACAATTCTTTATCCAAAACCTTTGGGGCTAGCTGAGTTGCAGAACTCAGATTTTTTTTTTTTTAATTTTAGGAAGCTAATATATTAGCACCTCCAGCAAAGTCAGAGGAAGCATTCTATACAGTCATCAATTATTTTTTGCACCAAAATATGAATATTCATATTAATTTTCCATCAAATCTATCAAATTAGTCATGAACCATCTGGCTTACTTTCCTTAAGAGATACCTAAACCACATGATTCATGCACAAAGGCCCACAGTAGAGAACAGACAAATGGTCAACTGCCAAAACCCCAGCAGATATTCCCTGATTCAGGACACTCACAGGGCATACCACCTGAAATCCAAACAGGTTCATTTAGAGAAACCCTGATACCGAAAATGCCTTCTAAGCTGACCTTTCTTGGCCACAGAACACGGAGTAGAAACCATTCCACAGAGCTCTCCACACCTAGAGGATCAAGTCTCCTCTGAGATTCGGGGACCTGAGTCCACACAGAGGACATGAACAGCACAGAGACCACAGCGGAATCTCCACCACAATGGCAGACCAGAGCTTTCAGACGCCTGACCCTAGATGACTGATGATAACTCTACAGGGAGCTGACCAAGTCACACTCTGATCCTTCCGCCTTTAAGAAGCAGAAAGAATATCTTATGGCTACTGTCTTTCTCTCCGCCCCCTTCAATGCTGGCCGCCTTGGGTTCTGCCTTCTACCCCGTTCTCTTCTCCCTATGCAGCTCCCTGGCTAACTGTACTCCCAGAGACTCACCTACAACCTTTATGCCCTTGACTCCCACACCACCCTCTTCCCTGAGTCCTTGATGCACACGGACACCTGCCTGCTTCCCTGTATCTCCCCTGCCCTGCTTTTGGGTTGGTCACGTGAGTGGCTCCGGCCAGTAAACAAACAAGTCATGTGCATCAGCCTCATTCTCTTCCCCTCTGTGCTGCCAGGACAAGATGGTAGAGAATCGAAGCAAACATTCTAGGGCCTAGAGCCACTGCTTAGGAAACTCAATCTGTACTGAACTATGAAAGAAACAAACTTCTACGGTGAAAAATTACTAAGATTCTGGAGTTTCTGACATAGCAGCTGATGTTAACTACCCCAATACACTGGCTCCTCCACCTGCCAAATACCTACTTAGTGCTGCAATTTAATAGGCACTCAATAAATAAATGTTCTCTTCAAAAAAAAAAAATAAAATAAATGCTACCTTCTCTGCAAAGTCCACTTCCATGGAAAATCAGCCACCCTTCTTGTGACCTTCAACAACTCACTCACACATCTGGCACAGGAGTGCCCTGATCTATTGCCACACTCTTGTTGTGCCTCTGGCCCCCGCGTTGGCGGGGGCTTTTTCTCATCGCTGTATTTTCAGTGCCCTGCAAGTAACGAACACCCAGTATGTTCAATTTACCAAAACAAAACCCAGAGCCTTCTCACTATGTGACAGCTGAGCCCCAAGTCAGCACTTTGCTCAAGTCACACTTTCTTAGCCTGGGCTCTGTGGTATTGGGCAAGAAAAGTAACAGACGCGGGCACCCACCTTCATCTCTGGATCCTTCCCCATTATCTTCTGTCTTTACTAAAGGACAGCTTTCACTTAGAAAGGGCACGATCTTTCCAGGAACTGCCAGCTAAACCATCTTACAGAAAGCAAGATCAAAGAGGGTTTTTTCAGTGACAAGATTAAAGTAGAATAGGACTCTCCCCTGGCCCTTTAAACCTGGCTCACCCCAGCCTTCCAGTTTAGATGTATGACTCAGTGTTCTGGACTCATGTAGCTATGCTGGGGTTATTAATGGTGTGAAAAGGGCCTAAAACATCACCGGCTCTTCAGGGGCCAAGATGTGGAGATGACAGGACCAGCCATGCAGAGTCATGTTATCACCATTTAGCAAAGCTGCCCAAGCCCAAAGCACAAGACAATGTTGTTAGTCAGGGAAATAGAACAGGGATCTTTTCTTTTAAAACACAGTAAATGGACTACAGCAATATATATTGTGAGTAGCTCCAAATGTCCAATTATCTTAAGGACAGGATGGAACTCTAAGTCCTAGCCCAAGGGACACGGAGACCATAAATATGTGACGATCAATTATTAATGCAATGTTTTTACAACTCCCACATACTAGCATTCTGCCTGCTGCTGTTACGGCTTTGCTGTGGATATTGAGACAATCCACTTAATGTACATTAAACAAGGTTGGCTGCTAGTGTTTAGACAAAAATATCCACGGCCAAGAGCTACGGCAAAAACAGACACCATGCCCACCTCTTCAGGAACACACAAAGAAGTTCCTAGGACATAGTTCTAGTAGGATGTTCAGAGGAATAAATGGAACAATGTTAGACTTTGCAGGATTCTACAGGCTTGGATCTGCAGACAGTTACGTGCCTTATTCTGGTTTTATGTTGCTTATAACAGAATACTTGAAACTGAATAACCAAGAAAAGAAATTATTTCTTACAGTTATGGAGTTGGAGACGTCTAAGGTTCGGGAGCTGCATCTAGGGAGGGCCCTCTCCTCTTCTTTTTATAAGCCACTTATAAAGTTCTACGCCATGATTCCCATTAGTCCATTCACCCATTAAATAATAAACGGATTACTCCATTTACAAGGGTACAGCCTCCCTGATCCAGGCACTTTTTCGAAGCCCCACCTCTCCATACTGCCAAGTGCAGATTAAACCTCAACATGAGTTTTAGAAGAGACTCTTAAATCATAGCACCAAGGAAGATCAAGAAAGCTTCGATAATTGGAAAAGCAACGCAGAAGACAACGTAGAGTTTGAGCGAGTATAGATTGCATATTGTGTTTAAAAAGCATCACATGTGGTAGACACGCAGCACATCAAAAACAGGGGACGCCTAACATCATGGCTGAACTAGGAGATTGTTTCTGACTGGCAGGTTCAGAAATCACATACCACGACTATAACAATGAACGACGCCCCCAAATCCCACCAACTGCATGTGTGAAAAACAAGGAAATGACAGAACACACCACCGTCAGGCAACTCACCCTCTACGAAGATCCTATTCCAGTAGGTTTTCCCAACTTGATTGCCTCCGAGGAACACCAGATTGGAGAGGATCAGCATCGAGGTGGAGCAGGACGCCAGGGCAGCGTGCAATCGGCGGCGAACTCTTGGGGAGAGGTACCGGGCCTACCGGGAAAGGGGCAAGAAGGCATCTCATCACGAGCATCAAAATGTAAAGCTCAGATGTCAGTCACTCTTTCTGTCACCAGCCCAGGCTGCACCCCAGACCCCCAAGCTTGAGCCAGGCCTTTACTTAAACAGCTCTCAAAATGTCTATTCCTGCAACTCATTCAGTCGGGTCTAAGCAAAGCAGTGACATCTCCCGTGTTGTTTCTTCCTTTTGCCAAAATAGGCTTCTTTCTGATGTGTCTAATATGAGTCCTGAAACTAGGTAGGACTTATAAGCCCTCCAAACCCAGGGATGTCTCCACTTGTTTTCTGCATGCAAACATTTAGATGCAAGAATTTCAAACTGCTCTCTGCAATGAGCAGCATATATTTAGCTTCATGGAAAGAGGTCATAGGGAATTCCCAGGCCAGTTAACTTGACCCTGGGAAGCCAGCCAACCACCCTATAAACATGACATACTATTCAGAGGAATCTCCTAACAAGGGTGCAGCACGATCCACTTGAGCCATGCCCATTGCTGGAATCAGACCCCAGGCTCCGTGCCCGACTCCGGCACACAGCAACACCCAAGAACGGCAGTGTCTCAGGGCGCTGAGACTCAAGGCTGGAGACACGGATTCCAGCTATCACAATAAGAATTCTGCTCATCCTTCCTAGTTCTTCATTATATTTTCTTTCCCTTTTCCTCAGGGACTTTATAAAGCAAACAAAGCCTTTATTCCTCAGCACTGCCCACTCTGGGGGCCCCTCCTGAGTGAAGTCGCCGTGCTGTGTCCTTTGGGACTGTGTGTTCAGAATGCGAACCAGGCACAGCCCCACAGCCAGGCACGCAGGCCCCAGGGTTCTGCCAAATATCTCAGCCTAATCCAGTGATATAGAAAGGAGAGAGCATAGGGTCTGGAGATAGTTTCTGAATGGCCCCCGGAAAGCTAACGTCTCTGGGGTTACACGCATCAGCTGTGCTCCAGCTGCAACTAGAGTTCTGAATGACTCCATGGCAGCAGCCAGTGCAGTTCACGGTGGGCTGAGTTACTGGGTGAGTCTCCCAGGGGAGGTTTATTTATTTTGGACGGCCCTCCTGTGGCCACTCTGTAAGCCGTGCTTGGCATCCTCTTGGCCCAAGGAAGCACTGCTGACCCCTCCTCCTCTCTCCCTCCGGCCAGCCCTGGGGTCTGCCCTGGATGCTACCATGTATCTTCTTCCCGTCCCCGTCCCCGTCCCTCCACATTACTTTATGTTTTAGCTACCACCTGATGGTGGCCTTCTCACGGATACGCTGTGCAGTGGATACGGACTTGGGTGTGTGCCTTCATGTTTATTCTGGAAAGCCCTCCCGTGACACAGACACATCCCTACTTCAAGGCCACCAGGCAAGATGACCTCTAGTCTCCCCCCTTCTCTATGAAGCCACAAGCTTGCACAGGAGGAAGCTGTCAGACTAGACCTCATACAAGATAAATACGTGGTGTCAAAACTGGTCGTGAGAGAAACGGGGGCAAAGCAGGCTTGTTACTCAACACTCTTCACCTCTGAGAATGGGGACCATTAGGCTACCAGTTTCTGCATTCCGCTTTAGAAGCAGAGGAGAAACTGTCTGGGTATTACTGACTCAATTAGCAGTAACTGGGGAGGCAGGGGAAAAGGCGGGGGGAAATACGGAATAAAGCAAGAAAATGTAAATCGTCTTAACTGACATAAATGGGTCAAAATAATTTTCTCCAAGTACAGGATTAATTTCTAAGGGCCCAGTGAGTCGGGCATTCCTCTCCACTCGGCTCCAGCCCAGTCAGTCTCCCCCAGCCCTATGTCCTGTGTGATCTCTCCTTTATTAAGATCAACTACGGAAAGTGTACACAGCTTAGTTAAGCCCAAAGTGGTTCTCCATTTATGGACAGTGATTATAAGTTTTAAATAATCAATAGAGAGAAACAGAGAACAGGCTCTTTCCATGGGGTTGGCAGGGCTGTGTGCTGTCTGTCACATGGTACAGCGAAAGGGCCAGGTGGCTGGGCCTCCTCTTTTTAGCCCCAGGCCCCGGCTCCTGCAGGTTTCCCTTTGATTCTGTGATGTCCCCACTATCTCCCCCAGCTCTGTGAATCAATTCATTCCTATTTCTACTTAGGGAAAGAAAAAATCAAACACCAACTGTGAAGGACTTATAACAGAGATAGGAAGGCATTTACAATCTGCAGGGACTGACTACAGTTCAAGTTTAGAAATAGTGTATTTTTTAAAAATAAGCAGAATAAAGCAGGAATATTAAAGGCACAGACTGTTAGACTCAACAAACTAAAAAGAGTTAAAGGCAAAAATCAAGATGCCCACAGGCAATTCTTGATTATCCTCCAGGGTTAGTGGGTGGGAGACAAAATAGATGATGATCTAGAAAACCCGAAAACCTAATTTTAACTAATAGGCTCATCCTCTGACAAAACCAGCCTTGCCAATAAGCATCAAAATGAACAGAGCACGGCTCCTTCCCATCACGAATCTGTGGGAGGACGGAATCGTGGGACATGAGGAAGGACACTGAGGGCCTGTCTGGATAATCCCCAGAAGGATGATAACTAGCAGCAAAGAGGATGTGACCCACTCCTCCTCTTCAGCTTCCCAGCACAGTTGTGACATTAGAGGTCTCACAAGCCGGCCTCAGCCACTGGCTCATAGGACCTGAAGAGGTAAGAACCACACTGAGGGATCCCTGGAGGAAAAATGCCACATGAGCGAGGCAGGAGGGTATCTTCCCCTGGGCCCCAACTGCAGCAATAAATCTGACTTTCAGAATCTCTAGGGCCACAGGGCCAATGTCCCCATTTTAAATGCTCTGTTCCTTTCACATACTCTCCCCTGCAGCCCTGGAGCAACTAATCCTGTCTCCTTCACATACAGCATGTGGCCCACCCACCCCACAGCCTGGGGACTTGAAAACCCCCTTGGCAAGAGGACTCACTGAGGGATTATAAACCAGGTTGGGGAAACATCAGAGCACAGCTCTCAGATCTGATCAGATAAGGCAGTAATCTACAAATAGAAAAAAGAGCTTTGGGCCAGGTGGGGTGGCTCCCGCCTATAATCCTAGCACTGTGGCAAGCTAAGGAGGGAGGATGGCTTGAGCTCAGGAGTTTAAGAACTAAGAGCAAGAGAGAAAGACCCTGTCTCTACTAAAAGAAGAAAAATTAGCTAGGCATGATAGTGAGACCGTACAGTCCCAGATACTAGGGAGGCTGAGGCAGAAGGATGTCAGGTGAGCCCATGAGTTTAAGGTTGCTGTGAGCTATGATGACAACACTGCACTCTAGCCTGGGTGACAGATTCTGTCTCAAAAAACAAAACAAAACAAAAAGAGAACCCTCCCCCCAAAAAACCCAAAAAGAAATACAAAGCTCTGGTCTTGTCCTGTTCTTTTCCTAGAGGATTTTAAAACCTAATTTTAACAATAGCCTCATCCTCTGACAAAACCAGCCTTGCCAATAAACATCAAAATGAACAGAGTGGTGTGTTCATTTTGATGCTTCAGAGTGAGTCTGTGGCAATCTGACATCCTGGCAGAAAAAAACCCTGAAGTGACACTATCTCCCAGGGGGTAAAGTTTCTGGACATTTTTGTTGTCTCAATGACTAAGAGGCAATGTGGCATGTGGTGGGTAGAAGCCAGCAATAACAAACTATCCTGCCCCAGAGGTCAATGGTGCCCTACTGAAAAGGGGTGAACTGTTCTCTTCCACGCTTGTTACAGAGCAGAGTTCCTGCTTGAGTTACGGGGGCATTGAGAGTAATGCCAAAAATATGCTCTCTTTCCTTTGGCGCCTAGAAAAGTGCATCCCAGGCAGGGAATGTGTTCCTAGCCAGCACCTCGGGGCCAGCCCATCCTACCCATTCCCATCACCTGGCACAAATTTGAGAGTGAGGGGGAATCTCCTGTGCCCCAGGCACAGATACACAAGGTGTAGTTCCAACCTCCCTCACCCCAACACCTTTGAAACTCAGAGGAAAGAAGAACGGGAAGGTAGGCAAGTTAGAAAGAATCACTGTGTTTCTTGGCAGGGGTGACCAGCTCTCCCCATGGTCTCTGACTCACATGACAGAGGGGCGGGCTGGGGCAGTTTCCCCTGTGTGAATGCCAACATAGCCCACTCTTCAGGTCTGCAGGCCTAGGTGTAGCAGGCCCTCCCAGAACACCCACAGCACAGGCAGATCTCTGACCCAAGAAACAGAGATGGGATGTAGGGATGTTGCAATGGCTTGAAACTTCCCTCTAAGATACTGAGACCCAAAGGCGAAGAATGCAGCCCAATACAATGAACCCTTATTTTTCCTTTTTGACACCCAGTGCAAGTCTATCAACCAGTGCTTAGAGCTGAACCAAACTTCTGTCAACCTAGTCGGTGACAGCAGGTTTGTCACACCTGCTGTGAAGTGTGTATGGCTCCTTATGTTTATTCATATCTCCATGGCAACTCCTCCATCTTTTCCAGTCAACATCCCATGCCTGGAAAGCCCGGGACTGGCCGGGGCAAAAAGCCGGGGCTAGGAGCTGTGGGCCATGGAATCTGGGTCAGCAGTGAAGCTGGGAACACACATGGGGAAGGGAAGCAGATGGTGTGGGGGAGCTGGGGGAGCTGGAGGCTGCTGGGCCCGTGGGCCCTGCACTTGTCCACACAGGGCTGCGTGTGGGGCGGAGACAGGAGGTGGGCACAGGCTGCACAGCTGGGGGAGCAGATGGCCAGAGCAATGGCTGCTGGGGACTGTGACAAAGGCTTGGCAAGTGGGACCTGATGCTGCCTATTTTTAAGTGGGGGAGAAGCTAAAAACAGAAACTGGGTGGGTTTGAGCAGCTGGACACAGTTCTTTCATATAATCACTGAAGTTTTTCATTTTCTAATAAAAATGCTAACCAGAGGGTAAGAGAGGATGAACTAGGCAATGGGAAGAGAGGAGGCTGGTGGCACCAGGGAGAGAAATGATGGGCAGACAGCCCACTGGCCATGAAGATGAGA